TCACCCCAGACTGCCTCCGACTCACCCGGCCCGGAACTGGCTCCCGGCTTCTGCGCTCGGCGCGCACACGTGCTCTGCCCGCACCTGCCCGCACCGCCTGGGAGGCGCCGGCAAAGGAACGGTCGCTACAAAGTGTCGAGGCTTCTCCCAATCCGGGCAAGCGCCCCGCCCAACGACCCGGGCCTGTGCCCTGCGCCTTCTCTGCGCCTCAGTCGGGGGGCCTGGGGATCCGCCTGGGTTTGGGGTGGGGGTGGGGATTCTGCTGGTTCTCCATGAGCTGAGGGCGTCTCGGGGGTCTGAAAGTTCCAGAGTCTGTGGAAGGAGCGGCTCCGGGGTCCTGGAGGTCATGGGCTAGGTTGGAGGAGGGGGCGCCACGACCCCCACCCCCTGCAGCAGGAGGAAGCTGTGACCCTGGACTAACCCCATGCCTCTGCCCTGGTGCACTGCAGCGCTAAAGCCCGGCCAGGGTCGAGATCCGCACGCTGCAGCCTGCCCCCGCGGAAAGGGGTGCCTTAAAGGAGACCTGGTCATAGCAAAGGGCACTGCGAATCCTACCCCCTGCAGGATCCTGGGCACAGAGCTCCACGTGCTGGGGAGAGGCCTTTGCGATTGCGGGTCTGGGTCCTCGCCAACCCTGGTCAAATACGCAGGGGAAACCACGGACCCGCCATCACCCTGGCTCCGACACTGGCCTCTACCCTGTGCCGTTGACAGTTTTGTGAGTTGTTGTGCACAGCAAGCTGGAAGGGGCTCTAGACATAAGACAAAGAGGACTTCAAGTTGGTTTTGAAAGGGTGGGCAGGGTCAAAATTTTCTGACGTCAAACGGCAGACTGAGAAACATTTCGGCGTTTGTTCACGTGAAAATCTGGGAAGAATCCAAGCGTCTGGTGGAAGATTTGCTAAACAAATCACACTAAAGAAAGTGGACAGGCTCCTGGAAGGTAATCCGTCATTGTGCTGAGGAAGAATGCTATCAACCCAACTAGTGATCACCATACTTTGTGCAAGAAAAACTGCGTGTTGCAAACCGGTGTGTGGTATGAGCCCATTTGAAAAGTACAGACATAAAATGATACATGCCACATCGTTAAAACGCTGGTTGCCACCAGTTGACAAAATTACTACTTTGTTTTATTAGTTTTACTTGGCTTTTTAATTTTCTTCTTTTTGCTTATCCATGTTTTATAACTTTTATAAAATGATCATCTTTTGCTTTTCTCTTTTTAAGCTTCTTTTCAAGAAGTGAAAGAAAAATTAGAGACAAGCGGGTTGGGGTAAGCAGTCCCCACCGATCAAGGATACTGAAGCAGAAGCAACCCTGACTCGGGCAAACGGGGGAAATGAGCGATCGGACGCGGCAAACCCTCCTGTAGTGGGAAGGCAGCCGCAGCCCTCTCTCTAGGACGGGCTAGGTGCTCAGTGACAACACTCCCGATTCCTCTCCACCCAAAAAGCACCGATGAGTTTTAACCATCAGTGGGGCCCAAAATGTCCAAGTAGCTACCGTATTAAATTAAATTTAAATGTATTTCAAGACATTTTGTGATTCTAACTTACTGTTATCAGTTACCTTCTTTGGTTGCTATTGACTGAACACTCAGTACATCCCAGGTAAAATGTTACGGTTTACACCCGTCTTCTTTGAGGCTCCCAAGGCCCCTCCAAGAGAGAGTTAGGTCCCTTTTTCATGTTACTAATAAGGAAATAGGTCCGGTGAATTTTACAACACTTTCCAGAAGCCCTCCAACAATAAGGGGCCTCCTTTAACTGTCAGGCTCAAAAGCACAAATTTTAACTTAAGCACATAACAATTTTAAGTATCCTAAATCCGGGTAAACTCCTCATAAGCTTCATTTTTAATAGAGGCCTGCTCTTCCAGCAAAAGGTAGGTCAAAATGTGATTCTCCAACATGCACTGAAAATAGAGGTGGCCTCTCTCCTCTTCTCCTGGGCTGTCGAGTCTAAAATGCAGCCCTTACCGCCTAATGCATTCTAGTACATACTTCCTTACTCTCTCCAGATTTTCTGTTCTCTTCTGGACCCAGGACTCCTGAGGTGGATTCCCAGTTCGATTACTTACAGCTGTGTTACTGAGCCCCTCTGTACTTTCTCTCCTCTTGGGTAGTTTATTATTTGTAATCATAACAGGACCGCTTTCCTCATTGCACTGAGATAATTAAGTGCGTCAATACTCAACATGTGCTACGTCCATCATTTCCTTACCTACATTGTTTATTTTTAAGACATTTAAAATCTGGCAAGGTAACTTCCCCCTCTCAGAAATTTCCTGGTGATTCGTGAACTTTCCCCATAATGATTAACTGAACACATTTTAAAAAAAAATCCCGGATCCACAGGAGGCTGGAAGGCCATTTAGACCAGCCTCCTCAGAACGTCTACCTCACCCTGAACCCCTCTTTGCCCTCCAGGAAGTTGCCTCCTCCCCAGGGGTTTCCCTCAGGGAGTTCCTGCCCAACCCCCATTGCCCCACGAAGCCTTCTCAAAGGCTCCAGGGTTAAGTACCTCTTGGGAGACTCATCAGATCTGCTGAATGTCTGTCTGCGTATTAGGGGCGCTGGTGGCTGTTGGAGACCAGTGCTCTGGCCCCTCTGTTGGGTTCACAGAACTACAGGTAGATAGATGCCTGATGGAAAAAAAGAGGCAGGGTATCTGACATCCCGGCAGGTTGCTGTGAGGGACAGGAGGAGCAAAAACAGGAGCTTGAGAGAGTGACTCAGCTGTCCTCCCTCCCTTCCTTGGAAGACAGCAGATGCAGGTGGGGCCGGAAGCAGGAAAACCTCCCCACCCATGTACTGACCCAGAGGCACCAGGAATGCTCCATGTTTCTGCTGTGCCCGAGGCAGTTCAGGCTGACAGCCGCAGAGGGTTGGACCCTGTTCTTTTATAAGCTCAGATGAGTTGTACCTCCAGCTGAAGGTCTTCCAGGGGGTCCAAGCCATGCATTGCCCCCACCCTGGGCCCAGTCCAGGCTCCTGCCCAGGGCGTGCCTCCTTCATCACCCTGGGTTCCAGGTTCACTACTCAGGGCAGCAACCCAGCAGGTGGTGCCCAACACTCCCTGGAGTCTGTATCAGTAAGGTCCAGGCCAGAGTCCTGCATCTTCCAAATAAGGCTGGGATTAGGGAGAGGCAAGCGAGGAATCACAAAACAAACCATCAAGATAAGTCATATTTTAATACAGTATTTTTGAAAATGATCAATTATTTTTATCAGAGAATCTATGATGAACAAAACATTAAAAATTTTTTTGAAGATGAGTATTACTGGTCTTCCCTTTTGCTTCAGGCTCAAAGGTGCCTGGGCAGTGATGCTGTGGCCAAGCAAGTCCCCTTTACCTGCTACAAATCTTTGCCTCCGCTGGT